CACACACACACACACACACACAGTGACTGTCCATCCCCATGTGGTCCGATCCTCAGGTCAGCTTGGTTTGCCCGTCCCAGGAGAGCTCTTAGGGAGAGTGTGTGACAGACTGGTAAAGAAACCAGTATTTACTGATGAGGAAGAGCAGTCTTTTGGGTAAAATGTTACAAATAAAGTTATGTACAATCTCATGTGATATCACGAGATGTCACGAATGACTATCAGCTACGATCACATTAAATTTTAGCTGAAAATCTGTCAGACTGACTGAATTACAGCAATTTCTGAGTTGGTTCAAGTCGACTTGCTGTGGTGGACTTCTTGGTTTGGACTGACTGCCAAACCTAATCTGTTGTAAATTATATCTAATCTAATTTTTAGGAGGTTAAATCAAGCACATTCAGTGGTTTGTGAAGTTATTTGCTAACAAACAGAGTCAACTCCAAAAGTTCTTAAGTTTTAAACATCACTCGTAGTCCTTGGAGTAAGGGTTTTTAACGATGCTCAGCTATCTCTACAACTAATTTTAACACAATATCTGAAACACTGACTGTGGTTCCGTAATTTTTTGTTTAAATTGTCTATGGAGACCATCTTGAATTAAGTTGTCACCAAGTGTTATTAAATTGTAGATGTATATCTAATAATTATTTACTGGGATTTTCATTAAAAAGACAGCAAGCTTTGTTTTACACACAACAATGATTTAGTTTCTTTTTCTTCTATTTGTGCAATCAAGTCTCAGCTAGTTTATCGCTCTTTTAGGCATCTAAATCTGTTGTTTGGTATGTTTCAAACATATGGACTGTCTGAGGGTGCTGAAGGAAAATCATAGCAGAGCCTGAAGCTGAAACTGCAGTTTGAGATAGAGACACAAGGTAAACGGTAAGAAAGTGAAGGAGGAAGATGTGGGGACCATCAGGATGCCAGAGCAGTGCCAGCTCCACAGGGGTTGTGTTTGATGTGTTTGACGAGGTTATGCTCACACAGTGAAGGAGCCGTGAACAGCGCTAACTTTGCAACTCTTATCCGAAATATTTCGAGGAAGATTTTTTTCATTTGGATTTCTGCTGTCAGTCTTTGGTTGAGGAGTCACTGAGTGAGCGAAGTGCTACGTGACGGTAGAATGCAGCTTATGTTCTGTGCATTAATGTTTCATGTTGCTTTGGCTGAACACTTGGTATGAGCATGAGTGGGAAATGGGCCTTTGTTTGGACAGCTGTCAGCTCCCAGAGCTCCATGTCCTACAAAGCTCTATGAGAGGGTGACTATCTTTGACCCCACTTAGCTCCTTCACTGGTGATCTAGAGCGTACCACAATCATGGGTATTCATGATGACCCATGTCAGGCAGAACTCAGGAGAGAGGTTTTGTCTGGACCAAATCAATGTCATTGTCAATTCAAGCTTTGTTTGCTTCCTCCTCTGCTCTCTTATCTCCTCCTGTTATCTCCTTTGTTCCACCCAATAGTGTTTGGGTTGAAACTAGACAAATTAAATTTTCTATGAAAATGCCATGCGATTGCTGAAATTTGTTGAAGAAACGGAAATTGAGTTGTTAAAACTAAAAGAAGCAGTGCGCTAGCTAAAGGAAACGGGACACTAAAAACTAAAAAATAAACAAAACGCTAGCTAAAATCCAAATATCAAAAGTTTAAATAAGAAGCAAATCACCACTAAAAGACAAAAGTACCAAAAGGCTAGCTTAAATCTAAAATAAACAAAACAGTAGCTATACCTGAGAGTAGTAGCTAAAAGGCTAGTTAAAAACACCAAAGTTTAGCCAAAAGTTAAAGTAGCAAAAAGGTAAAGTTGTACATGCTGCCAGTGATCTTGGTTTTGGTATATGCTCCCAACTGGGATGATTCTACATTTTTCAATAACCTCTTTTTAAATATACCAAATATCTCAACACATAACCTTATAATCTGCGGTTACACAAATTATGTGCTTTCATCTCTAGACCATAGTTAGATGAGGAAAACTACTCTGTAAGTCCGCTCAGCTAATCAATTCATTCCTTGAAATGTATGGTGTGGCTGATGTATGGCCTTTTTGTAACCTTACCTTAAGATCATGTTAATTTTTTTCCCCAGTCCACATCAGTTGCAGTGACAGTCAGCCAACCAAACAATTGCAGCAATAAAAAATGAACAGGGAGCTGCATGCCACGACAGTGCTGAAATTAATACGTTTTAGTCCAATTTATCAGTCATTGTATACGACCGAGTCATCAGCTAACATGTCAGATGTGGATAATTTTTTGGAGATCTTGAGTTTTCTTCAGTGAATCCTGATCTTGTCGGGGACTTGGAGAGGGAGTTCTCTTTAGCTAAGATAAACTCCACAATCAACAACATGCAAAATGGGAAATCCCCTGGACCAGATGGCTTCCCATTGAGTTTTGTACTAATTTTTCCAGCCTACTTTCACCCTTATTAAGGTCTGTGTTTGAGGAGTCACTTGCTGCACAGACATTGCCACTGACCATGCACCAAGCTGTCATCTTGTTGATACCTAAGAAAGACAAAGACCCTCTATTCTACAGCTCATATAGACCCATCTTGCTTTTAAATACCGATGTTAAAATCCTTGCAAAGGTCCTGGCAAAATGACTTGAGCGGGTAGTCCCCATAATCGTCTTGCCTGACTAAATGGGGTTTGTAAAAAAAAGTCAGTCTTTCTTCAATGTTAGGCGGCTGCTTGATGTGCTGCATAGGCCTAGTCCATCCGGACACACCTGTGATGAAGTCATTGTTTCATTAGATGCGGAAAAAGCATTTGACTGGGTGGAGTGGGACTACCTCTTTGAGACTTTAAAGTTATTTAAAATTGGTCCCAAATCCATATCATGGGTGAAGCTAATATATCCCTCCCCAATGGCGGCAGTCTGCACTAACTGTAACATATCTTCCTATTTTGAACTGTAACGGAGTACGAGACAGGGGTGCCCGCTTTCACCACTTCTATTTGCATTGGCGATAAAACCATTGGCGATAACTTTGCAGCAGAACTCAATCATTAAGGGGATAAGACAACTAAGTACATATCACAAAGTCCCTTAGTATGCAGACAACATACTTTTGTATATATCAGACCCCCCTTGCCAATGTGAGACATTGAAATATATTTCAAAGAATAGTTGGATCAATTATTCTTAATGAAAACAGTTGTGACATAAAATACAAGTTCATTGTTAAAAATGTTTTAAATAGTTTTCTGGTTAAAATAACTTTCTGTAAGGATTTTCCTGTTTAGAGTTGTTTATCTGTGATCGACTTGTTGAGTTCTGATGGTCTGTGATTGATTAGTCATGGCTGCAGGGCTTGAAGGAGGGGGAGCTGACATTGCTTCATTCCCGCCACCTGAATGAAATCAATGTGTCAAGAGTATCTTTCACTATTATTATCCTCTTTCAGCAAATTAAAGAATTTTTGTGTTTAAAACGTTTATTAAACATTTTCTGTTGAGTTTTTGCGTATTTTCATCTCAAAGTTGATTGGTTTTCATTAAGTTGTTTATGTTTAGAACTGTGGTTTAAAATGTTGTTTTGTGCTAATTAGCATTGCTCAGTCTGCCGTCGACGTCTCACCATGAGGCAAGCGTCAGCGCATGACGTGTGTGCTATTCAGCTAAGTGAATTATACATTCATAGACTGAAAATATGACTGTTTTGATTACATTTATGGTTGAATTCATTATCTTTGTTTAGGCAAAAGGACAAATGTACATTTTTATTGTCATTTAAACAACAATATAAAAAAACAGTATGTGTGAAAGATGTGAAGGAATCTGTTTTATATACATATTTTTTATTCTTTAACTGCTATATTGGATTTGGTTTAAAGATAAAACTTATTCTTTCTTATTATGCAAATATGTTGAATTGTAAATCAATTCCCGCTGCACCTGCCTGAATGAAAGCAACATATCGAGTACCTGTCACTATTATTATCCTCTTTCATGCTGCAACACCAGCATCCCTGAATTACTTACTTTGCTTAAAAATTTTGGGGAAATATCTGGCTGTAAGGTCAACCTTCAAAAGTGTGAATTGATGCCTGTGACCTCCATAGAAAAGAAAAAATCTTGGACACCATACCCTTTAAAATTAGTTTTAAAAAATGTATGTACCTTGGGATCTGGGTAACTCGAGATCATAAGAACCTCTATAAAACCAATTATCTACCTCTTGGCCAACCTTAAACAGGACATTGCTAGATGGCAGTCCCTGCCCAACACTCCAAGGGGCAGAATAAACTCTGTAAAAAATAAATATCCTACCTAAATTTTTATACCTGTTTCAGATTCTGCCAATCTTTCTTACTAAATCTTTCTTTATCGATCTGAACAGCCAGATATCAACATTTATATGTAATAAAAAGCATCCACGGATTGCCAGGAGGGTCCTGCATATACCCCGTAGATTTGGAGACATATCGCTTCCTAACTTCATGCACTATTATTGGGCAGCTAATATCAGATCTGTTCTATTCTGTTTGGGTAAGGACACCCCTTCTTCTAGTTGGGTGGCCTTGGAAAGTGCCTCATCAGTTAGATCCAGCTCTCTTTCTGCATTACTGTGCTCTCGGCTGTCCTTTAAACAATCATGATCAACCACACTTCTAACCCAATTGTGGTCTGGGTGGTTAAGATTTGAAATCCGTTCAGGAGGACATTTAACTCTACAGAGTTACTGTTTTTGGCACCTGTGTCAAATAATCATATGTTTAATCCCTCAGTAGCAGATACAGCTTTTGACACATGGGTCTTGAGAGGAGTGAATTCACTGTGTGAGCTCTATGTTGATGGTAGATTTTCCTCCTTTGAACAGCTGGTACAAAAGTTTAATATTCACAACTCAATTTTTATGTATCTAGAGCTGAGATTTTGTGAGATCCAACTCTGATTGTTTTCCTTTGTACCCCTCTAAACATTTTGTGGCTAAGATTTTGGAGTGCAGGTCTGATACAAAGGGGGTCCTTAGCAAGATTTATACATTGCTCTGTTCATACCATGGATTCAGTTTGGACTCCTTAAGCTGAAATGGGTAGCAGACTTGGAGGAACTCATATCAGACTCCGCCTGGAGAAGGATTATTAAGAACATTTACTCATCTTCAGTTTGCCTGAAACCTGCTGTAATCCAATTCAAGGTAGTGCACAGGCTGCACTGGTCCAAAGACAAATTGTCCAAGATAAAAGCTGACCTGAACCCCGCATGCAATCATTGCAAACAAATTCCACCTACATCCCTGCATACCTTCTGGACCTGTCCCGAACTGCAGACTTTGTCAATCTATATTTGGCACCTTCTCTGAAATATGTGGCAAAACTGTACACCCATCACCACTCATCTCACTGTTTGGGTCGGTTCCTGTGGGTACATCCTTCAGTAATTCGTAAAGGATGTGATTGCCTTTGGCTCTCTTCTGGCCAAGAGGCTAATTTTGTGAAATTGGAAGGGCCCACACCCCCTAGCATCTGTACATTGGATAAGGGATGTATCATATTAATTTGGAAAAAAATAAGATAGACCTTGAAGGGTTCTGTCAAAAGATTTTGGGACTTGTGGCAATCTTTTGTATTGTACTTTGTATGTGGAAAGTATGCCAATGCCTGTTTAATTTGTTTGTGTATGTTTGACTGATCCGGTGTTGGAGGGAAGGGGTGGGGGTTCTATGTTCTTTGTTGTTATATGTTTAAAAATGAAAAAAAAAAAATCAATAACACTTTGTTTAAAGAAAAAACTAAAATCAGCTCTGAAAAATGCTTGAATTCTGAGCATCACACATGTGTATGTGTATTTAGTGTTTAATATAGGAGACGTGACAAGTTAAAAAAGACCTATGACCTCCAATTTTGATGAGAATAATTTAAGCTTAAACATAACTGAATTTGGGGAAGCTTGGGAGTGCTCTTTCTGCATTCTGGGGGCATTTGAGAAAAAATACAAGTTCAACAGCAGTCAGATAGTCTGTTATTATTTTTTAAAGACAGTGCACATGAATCAATATTTCCAAAAAATATAAACATGTCAGAGTTAGCACAATGGCTAATTTTCATCCAATGCCCTGGTGTTTTGGTTTAATGTATAATTTGTATATGTTGTGACTCGAGGAACCCAGAGTAGCATGATACCCGGAACGAGACAGACAGGTAGATACAAAAGTAACAGTGTTTATTATTTACAGTGATTATGGACAGTTGCTTCTCTGCAGCTCCTGGAAAAGGAGGGAGATGGTCAGAGGAAGTCGGCAGGTGGACAGGCAATATTAATGTGGTGATGTTTTCTCTCTTACAGATTTGAAGGTGTCTTTGGGTCCAACTCCAAATCCTTGGGAGAGCTCCAGAGGGGGACAAGGCCAAGGATCCAACAGAACAAGGAAGGCTGGCAACTTGTGGTTGGCAAGGCACGAGGAGAACCAGGACGAGGCACGAGGAGAACCAGGGCAGGACCAGGGGAACCAGAACCGAGGAGACAGGAACGCTGGAGATAAGAAGAGTCTGGTAAGTAGATTTACTTCATATAAACTTACAGGCCAGAGGCACAAATGTCATTATATGGTCAATGCTCCAGAGTAACACTGGACTGCAGCCTTATGTAGGAGGTGATCCTCATCAGGTTGATGGCCGACAGCTGTTGACAGTTAGCAGCCATCTTGGATGAGGATCTGCAGGCAGTGGTACTCTTACAGTATATGGGCCTAAATAAATAAATGAATGTGAGATTAATATGTTTGTTTGTTACAGCTATGGGATTTATAGCTTTTTGAAGGGAGCCAGATCTTGAAGATCCATTTGTTTTTAAGAGCTGTTCAATTTTAAACTGTAAAGACATCACTCCATATGTCTGTACAGCTGATTGCTGCATGCATTTAATGAAACTTACTGATGAACATTAAAATGTTTTGTTACAGTACAGATGCAGAACAGAAGCTAAATAGAACACAATGGCAGCTAAAAGCTGAAAGCAGCAAAAGAGGTAGAAAGAGCTCAAAGTAGCAAAAGTCTAGCTAAAAGCTTAAAGCAGCAAAAAGGGTAGAAAGAGCTCAAAGTAGCAAAAGTCTAGCTAAAAGTTATGTGGAAAAAACAAGCTTGGGAACAGCTAAAAGTAGCAGAATACACAGGAACTTTTTTTTTTAAATTGAAGAGATCTTAAAGATTTTCAGTAAGATTTTATTTTAAATGTTTAAATAAAGTAATATATTTTGAAAAGTATAAAAGCGAAAGTCATCACATATGTCTCCTGATCAAGTTGAATTTTTTTGATAAATGAATGATTAAAATAGCACAAAGCTGGTGGAATCGGTTTGATTGCAAAAATCATATGGAAGAAAAATAAAGAGGAAAATTATGGCATGAATGCTGATTCATCATTCACACAATGAAGTTGTTTTTATTCAAGATGCATCACTACCCGTCATTTATCCATTTATTGCTCTACACTCACATGTTGACAAGAAACCTCCATCCAAATCAACTGGTCATTTGGGTTTTTAGCTTTTTTCAAAATAACATCCATTATTATGTTTGGAGGGTAATTCAGTTCATAAACAAATGTTACCATTTAAATGCTTCTATTCTTTTTCATTGATAACTTTTCTCAAGAAGCACAGCCAAACAATTTTATTTAAAAGTATTTCATTGTACTTTTTTGTCCTTTTGTTTGGAGTACAAATCAAGATCAGAAATTGCAGCTATTCTTTGCAAAAGTTGAGACATTCTTTTTTCTGGTTCCTTTTTAAACCACGTTTGATCAGTCATCTCCAAACAACTCTGTTTTTATAATCCCAGATGGTTTCCAAAGGTGCTAATATTCTGTCAGGAAGGAGTGGAAGTCTTCAAGCTCTGGGTTCGGGGATGCCTTTATACCGTGGCCCCTCAGTGGAAGTAGCCAGTTGATGCATACATGTGGTAGGCGCTTTGCTCCTTCACTTCACCTCCACCAGTGACCCACCACATTGGAATGCATGAGCCATAATGGTCTTAGGTCCATCTTGTGATGGAAACCCTTTGGAGGGGGGCACAGACTTTTTAAATTGGGAAAAATGCTAAAAAAGGAAAAACAAAATGGGGTGAAGCCAATGAACAGCTGACCTTGAGGACTGGGGTCATTAAGCTCATACAAGTTTCTGAATGGAAGGCACTTGCAATTTGGACATGCAACACGCTTCGGGCTTTCAGACAGACAAGGACAAACAGATGTCCAGGTACCACAGCCAACATGAGAAGAAAAAACTCTTCTCCATCCTGTGTGAATGGAAGAAACCAGTAAAGATCCAATAAAGGGATAAAACCACTTAGTCTGGGATAAGACCTAGTAGCTGTTTGATATTTTTACCCAGCAAAACCTGAATGTACCATTCTAGTCACTCTAAAACCCCAACATGGAAGACATTTCACTTATTAATGTTCTTATTCACCACATAGTAAATTTCAGTGCATGACAACCAAATCTGGTGTCACTAAGAAAGTTGGCCAGTAGTATCTTGAAATCTGTCATCTGATTCATTATTAATGGTTTTATGCATTGATCTGTATCTCTGGCAGCTCAGTAGTTAGAGACATCACCTCTCAATAGAAGGTTGAAGGATCCATTCCCTGCCTGGAGCTTTTCTAACATCTATTAATATACACAAAGTTTGTATATTTGTATCTATTAATATACTTTCTATGTGGCGTTTGCAGGTTCTCCTTGTACATACTTGGATTTATCTGCATATTCTGGTTTCCTCCCACAGACCTAAAACATGCATGTTAGGCTGATTGGTAACTCTAAATTGTCCCTAGGTGATAGAGAGCGAATAGTTTTTATTCAGTTTTGTCTCTGTGTCCCTGTGATGGACAGGAGACCTGTCCATGGTGCTCCCTGCTTCTCTCACAGTGACTGCTGAAGATAGACACGAGATCATGAGTTCTTTGTGAATCCAGATTATGTAAAAATGTCAAAAAGAGGCTTGTAAAATTAGTTCAACACAAACATACACATTCACGGGACAAAGAAAGTCACTCTTTTTCAGTTTTAAGGTTTTACACAACAGAAAGATTATCTTGTTTTATCTGGTCCCAAGTAAAATTATTTACAGCTAACCTCAAGTGTATAAAAACACACAACAGATTCTAACATGTGATCATGTTTTGAAGCCAAACAAAGCTACAACAGAAAAGCTAGGTGTGGTAAAAACTGAAGTTCATCCCTGCTGTTTCCAGAGGATTAAAGAAGTAAAACATTAATCAGATACTGATGCTCACTGAATAAATGATCATCATAAGTGTGAGCACCTCCATACAAACAGGAGTTTTCATGGTGTGGACACAATCCCAAGAGGGAAAGACATCAGCAACGACCTTAGAGAAGCAACTGTTGTTGCCCATTAATCTGGGAGGGGTCAAATCCCCAAAAGTTTGGGTTCTTATCCAAACTCTATGGAGTCTACTGCACAGAGAAAAAGAAGAAAACATTTAGGACAACTGCCAGTTTTACTAGAAGTGGCTGTCCAAACTCTAGAGCTCCATCTACTCTGTACAGGCTTCAGCTACCTGGTTAAAAATTACGACAGGATAAGAAAGACTGAACAAGGGGGTCTTTTTTGAAAGGATTAAGAGAAAGCCACTTCTTTTTATAATTAAAATGGCAGCACCGCTTAAGTTTGTAAAGTTTTATCTGAATGAAGCACAAGACCTTTGGAACAATGTTCTTTGGCCAGATGAGACCAAAGTACAGACTGTCGCTCATAATGCCCAGGGTCTTTTTCTGGAGAAAATCAAACATGGCATATTAACACAAATTCAAGAAGTATGGTTTGTGGCGAAGTGTTACAGAAGAAAGCCTCTTGTCTCCAAAGAGAACATGGCAGCTTGACTTAGTTTTGTAAAGTTACTTATCAATAAACCACACTACTTCTAAAACAATGTTCTTTGAAGACCAAAGCAGAGATGTTTACCCATAATGCACGGTGAAATGCTTGACAACAAAACAGCTTGTGCCAACAGTCAAACTCATTGATGGAGGGCTGATGATTTAAGTTTGTTCTGCTGCTACAAGACCTGGACTCCATGCAGTCACTGAGTGGACCATGAAGACGTCAAATCAAAGGATCAAAGGATTCTAGAGTCAAATATGACACCATCTTATAGCTGAAACTCGGACGAACCGGGGTCATGATGCAACAGAACAATGATATTAAAGACATCAGCTAAACTATGACAGAACAACAGGAATGTTTTGAAAAGAAAAAGAATTGGGGTGTTGTAATGGTACAGTCAAAATCCAGAATCCTCACTTGATAAAATTGCTGTGGTGGAACCTTCAGAGAGATGAGCAGAAACAAATGTTTCAATCCTCATCAAACAGGCAAGATTAAAATGAAAATGCATCAAAATTCCTCCAC